TGTCAGGATTGCTGACCTATCCATTCTGGATAATACTGGGCTATAGACCATAATTTCAGAATCGTTGTCATAAGTAAGTTTGACTTTTGGCAGCAAAAGAACAACTCTTAGGTTGAATATTACCTGAAAAAGCCTATCTCACTTTGCAGAAGTCACTGACTACGCTTCCCTCCTACGTCACCCTATTGAACGTCACTTGCTTCCTACCAGAGTGTATAGCCATCCAAAATAGTGATATTAACTGTTGCCTAACTTCTTCATTGGCTACACTTTTACAGGTATAAGCTCATGTGAATATTACAATAACTCTACTCCCAAGAAAACTGAACACATCTCAAGCTTACAGAACTGCCAAGGGATGACACTGGAATCCTGATTCCAAGCTGGTACCTTTTCCACTGCACACAGAAGTACAACTCAAACAACTCACAGAGCTGCTTTGGGCAATCAGATTTAATTCAATAGTAGCATTGGGAACACAAAGTCAGGAATCCTAAGAGAATGGACCACAGAGGATATTCCCAGGGTAAGAGCTCCAACTCCACGTGTTAGGTGAGATGAGCACAATGAGATGGGACTCAGCACAGAGTTTCTTGTATCAAACCCTATTTCACAAGTCTTTTCTGACCCATGAAGTGAAGATTTACATTGGCCCTTTATGTGATTTTCACTGTGTATGGAGCATCCAGCTTTACAGAATGATTGAATACCCTTTTCTCAATTACTTTCCCCCCAGATGACTATGGACCACTGACACTTGACTTCTTTGTAGTAAGATATAAACAAAACATGTCTGTGACTTAGAATTTAGTATTTAGTCAAATCCATGTATCACTCTTTAAAATTAAAATAAATTTTTAAAAAATCTTTCTTCTCTACAAGCATTATGTGAATGGGTGTCAAGGAAATGAGCAGTGGTTGGGTTAGTTCCCCATTTCTGAAATAAGCTGCTTAAAATGAAGTATGCACATAGCCTGTATGAGACCTCTGAGAGTTGTGTCATAGAATCTGGCTACACCTTGAAACTGGTTGCCTGAATCCTCAGCACCATTCATTTCAAGGAAACAGAATGACAGGCAAATGGGGCTGACCAAAATAAATTGCTGTGCACATTCAGTGAAGCTCACATTTAAAAAAAGAAAGAAAAGGAAAAGAAAAAAAAACAAAAACATCTATTCTCACCAAATGAAACCAAACTCATCTGAATGGAAGCATGTCCCTCCATAATTTTGTAAGAGTGAATACAATTTAAAATATAGCCAAGGTTTTCAGTGAACATACTTAACAGGAAAGTGAACTTTGGTGATGGAAGAATCCTGCTTTATTTGCATGACTGTTCTGTGGATTTTGAGAGTTGAATTTGTATTTTTCATTTCTAGGTATCAGAAATAATACTAAGAGGTGTGCACTGCCACAGTGGATGTTTAATATGATGTGGATCATGCAGGTCATACTTCTAAATGCTTCAGACTTCTGGAGGATTCACCCATTCTTCATGTATCATTTGTTTCCCTGGTTTAGCTAGACTTTTTGTCAAGAATTTCAACAATGTTATCATGATATGATGAATCATTGCTACAGGAATAATTTCCCCCTTAACTCACACATGTAGCTTTTTCTAAGGCTGTGTCCACATAAAGCACAAAGGGCTCATTGAGAGGTTCATATACATCCATCAAAAATTGCTTTTTTAATTCATGAGGCAAATATCTTGAGTGACTGCTTTGGAATGGATTTGACTTCCTTTTCTTTCTTTTTTTTTTTGGCTTTGTGAAAATGTTGCCTTAGTGTTAACAAGGATTTGCTACAAATCCTAGAAAATGGACTTGTCAACTGACAAAGGCCTTTACACTATCTATGGTCTACTTTTGAGGACTAGAGCATTCAATTTGGTGAAATTGTGCAGATAACTGGATTTTAAGCTTTGATATCTAGGCTCTTGAGTTCTGCAGAAATGCACCATGGAATTTCATTAAAGAGATATTTAAATTTTAATTAAAATATATTTGAATATCTTTAAATGGTATCAATAATTTACTCACCATTCCTATTTTGTTTTTATGAAAAGGTTATCTTTCCACCTATCACCTATTCTTATAGGTGATTTCCTTTTTTCCTTTTTCCTTTCCTGGAAGAATAATATTCAGAACTTTAGGCTCTAAACCAGGAACAAAATCTCCAAAGCCTTCTAAGGGCTAGCCAGACAATGCACATGTCTGAAATGAGAAAGACATGGATGCCTCTTATATACACAGGGGAGGGGAGGGATGGGTGGAGGAAGCAGGTAGCATTCAACCCCACCCACTATTGGTGTGCTTACTTCAGGCCTGAATTGTTCACTCCCATCTTGGGAAGTGAGAATAATTTTGTTGTGTTTATACCTCATGTAGAAGAAAACATTTCCACGTGCTTTGAAGTTTAGACTAACATGCTAAGGTTGCAGGAGGAGGTGTTGAAGAAACTAGCTTGGAAAAGAAGTGGTCTCAACTAAAATGCTGATGACTGAATGGGGGTTTTCTAAAAAGGCGAGCTCCTGATTGTCTCAGCTCACTAATCTTGATGGAGATGCTATAGTGAGTTTCAAGACTAGGGCATAAGGATGGTGTTCTAACTGGTGAACAGTATGGGTAATTCCAGCATCATTAATATATAGTCCTGTGATTTCTCACTCACCATTCATTGACCCAGCCATTCAACAAAGGCATTAAGCATTTTTTGTGTGCTAAATTCTATGTTACATGTTGAGAACACAAAAAAACTCTGAGCCAAGAGGAACTCAAAAGAGAAGAGATTGTTTCTACTTGGGAACTAAACAAACAAAGACAGAGTTTAAATGGAAGAGATAAGATGTGATGCTCCAAGAAGGACCTAGTGTTATCCAGTTGGCCAAAGCTAAGGGAAGGGAAAACTTGTTTTTGTCACAGAGAGTATTGGAAGAGAAAGCAAGGAGGCAGGAAACAAGGTGGCATGATGATGTCAGACATAAGGAGTGAAGATGGCTGGATGGAGGGGAGCTTGTGAGGGGTGGGTGTGAAGGAGGAGTGAGAAGTACCATTAGAGAGGTCAGAGATCAGTTCCCAGGACTCCATGTTAGATGTTAGACCTTGTCCTGTAGGCAGGAAGATGCCTTAAGATCTTCAAGTGTTTTGAGCAAAAGGAAGGTGAGCAGCAGGGTTTGTTCTAAAAAAAATATTTCTACCTTATTTTACATGTGTGAAATCTGAGGTTCAGAATTTTGGCAATTTGTCAACAGCAACACATTTATTCATCAGAAATGGCACTCAAGACCAAGATGCAAACACTAGTAGTCTGACTCCAAACTCAGTGCTCGATCATAAGATAAAACCTTTACTAAACAGTACCATGGCACCCTACTTTTTTTTTTTTTAAAGATTTTATTTATTTATTTGAGACAGAGAGAATGAGAGAGAGAGAGCACATGAGAGGGGGGAGGGTCAGAGGGAGAAGCAGGCTCCCTGCCGAGCAGGGAGCCCGATGCGGGACTCGATCCAGGGACTCCAGGATCATGACCTGAGCCGAAGGCAGTCGCTTAACCAACTGAGCCACCCAGGCGCCCAGCACCCTACTTTGAACATCCACAAGCGCTCACAAATGCCTCTGAAAACCATAACAATAAAAAGGGAAACAAAATCCATATGCAGAGTTTTAAAATGTCATTTAGCTTGGATGACATGGATGTAATTACGTTTAATTTTCCACCTTCATCCTGCTAACATGTGCAGAGCCAAGAGCCTCTCACTTTGGCCCATCTGAACATTTTCAGTGGAGAGCATCTGTGCCTACCAGACATAGCCAGGGCCTGTGTTGGAAGTCCCACAGTACCCTGCCAAAGGTCACACATGAGCTATCACTGCGATAGTCGGAGCTAGGAGAAAGTCTGTTCTCAGAGATTTTCCCACCCAATGAGCAAATCCAACTGCTTTAGTCAAACCATAAAAAAAAAAATATATGATCATGCAAAACAGGGTAGTCAGAAAGAAAATGATCTTACTACATATTGCCTAAGCATTTCAAGGTCCCTGCCCCCCACATTGTATTTTAGTGGTACAAAGGGCAAAGGCCTTTTCATTGAGGGGCTGTTCATCAGGGTTCTCACAGGGTGATCAGAAAGGAAATTACACCCATGCTTCCACTTCTCTCCATTCTCCAGCCTATTTCAATGTCTGACTCGCAGTGATCCACACTGACAGGACACCTGCGTTTTTCAGGTCAGCCAATCACATCATTATATTCATTTCTCTCTGGATGGTCTCAGGTTTTCTAGTTCATGCCCTGGCCATTTAAGAGAAGAAGAGTGGATGGCTGGTGTTCCCAGAGTTTTGTCTATTTCCTCTGGTTATGAAGATAAAACAAAATGCCGCCACATTTTCCAGCCGTCGGGAGATCATCCCTCCTTTAACATCCAGTTAAAAATCGTTTGATCCCTGACACTGATTCGCTGCAGGCAGCTCTATCTCCAGTTTCTAGTAATGAGTCTGAGCAGGTAAACTACCATTTAAGGTGGTTATCTGTCTCTGGTCTCTTATCTGCCTTCCTTGTCAGTCCACACTTGCACCCCTGGCTCCACATTGCTTTGGCTTTCCTTTTTCCACCTCATTCCACCCAGAATAGCAAACACCAGGCTGAAAATTTGGCAAAACTTTCTAAAGACTTAGGGGATAGGATAAGGAAAAAGAAACAAAGTGGGTGTTCATGGAGAATTTTCCTGGAGTCCTTTATGAATAGCTCTATCTGCCAAAGGCTTCCTTCTGCCCTTCTTCTTCCTTAGCCACCTGTCTACACATTGATATATTTCATCCCTGCGATTTTTGTGGTGGGAATGGCGGTGGGATAATCTTACCTTCAACAGATGGAAGATGTTTAGCCATCTCCCCAGCTACTCAGAAAACAGGCCTCCAAGCTATTTTGAACCCAACAAGGAGTGAAGCCTTCCTTTCCCTACCGTACTTTCTTCAGCCTGCTTCAAGTTCATCCAGTAGTTGGTCCCATGGAGACGTCACTCTGCTCCAATAATGAGGGCTGTTTTTATAATCATGAAGTGCATATTCATATCTCATTTTCTAGACCATCTCCATTCCAAGGAACCTATACAAAATCAAAACACCCATCAGAAGGAATGCTTCCAAAGAAACCCAAAGATGAATAGAGAAACCGGAAGAAACAGGTTTCTTGTTTTTGAGACATTACTTTGTTCACAACTTGTTTCCAGGAATACACTATTCTGGACTCATATTCTTTGGGGTTTCACCAGTTCAGCCCCTCTCCTGCTCTGATTCTTCAATTCATGCCAGTGTAATGGGGCACATTACATTCAGTTGCCATTATTTCACAACAATGATATCATGATTTTGCAGATAGCAATATTTAGTGTGCTTGTCTATCTAAGAATATTCCAACAGTTACATTATATACATTTTCAGGATTTTCATACAAAGGACATACTGAATGATTTTAGCGGACTATCCCATAAATCATCCAGAAATATGAAATAAGTATCAGGACAAGTATCGGGACATTGTTAACCACTGGCATTGCAACAAGTCAGACACAAAGATAAATAAGGTATTATCTCAGCTGCCTTCACTAGCAAGGAAAGTGGAGAAGAGAACACAAATACCAATAGAGGTGAAAATGAAGCTCAGTGGAAACAGAAAGGGAATGAGAACATACTCGAGGAATGAATAAGGCTTAACACTGGAGATGACTGGGCGTGAAACCCGAGCAGGATTTGGACAGGTAGAGCTGATGAACAAAGGCCGGCAGTGGGTAAATAGGGTTGAGAGAGAGAAATTTTGCAGGGAAGGAGAACAAAGGAAGCAAACGTTGATCAATTTCTAAGGCTCAGGATTTTGGTGCCAGGGTGGTGACGGACATATCCCCTTCTCTGGGGTTGCAAATTTAGGGAAGCATTTCCTGTCTTTTCCTCGGCAGATGCATACCAGTTCTCAAGGGAGGCCCTTTTCAGAATAGGGAGAGCCAATTGCTCTCATTGTAAAAAATGCAGTCTTTCAAGTACCAATAGCCAGCACTTGAGATTAACTGAGAAACAAATACTGTGTTTGCTCCAAACAAAAGAGGTGTCCTGTGTCATAGAGCCTGGAATTGCCACTCTGAAAAAAATGAGGTATTTTACAAAACATGTGCCTACAATGTAATAAAAAAAAACCCAGACCAACAGTCATCCCAGTGTTCACTGAGCCTCTCCAGATCCTCATTAGTTTTCTCAGGGGTGGGAAGTAGCCCAGACAGATGTCCTGGGCCATGTGACTGGGTGAAGACGAATAGCCAGGATGCAGCTGTGTAGACAGCTGTCTAAGCCGATTAAAAAATAGATCTATCCATTCCCCTTGGTACTTTCAAAGACTCTGGGATTATCACAATTTATATACCAGTCCAAATATGTCTCCTGCATAATAATACAACTTAGCTCTTCCCTGGCAAGGCAATTTTTCAAAGCTCACTGCAAATACAGCTTCAATTTTACCATCTTTAGAAAGGTAAGTAGGAGTTCTAGCTATGCAGATATACAGACGGATTGGAACATCGCCCTTAATTAATTGATTAATTAATAACCTCTCTGAACAACATCTTAGGATGCATGCTCCATGATTTCATGACTTCAGTCAAGGTGATGCAGCCCCAGAGACCTAGAAACATATCGTTCATCCTATGCTATAATTCTGCACAACAGAAGGAATGAGGCAGCTTCAAATTCTGGGTCTGATATTTTTATCTGTGATCCCACAATCTCAATCCTAAATATTAACCCAAGAGACACAGAAGCAAAACAGCCCAGTTGTCCATTAATAGGAGAATGGAGAAACTGTTAGATGTTCAGGCAATGGAATCCTAGTCAGTAATGAAAATGAACAATGTACTGTTTCTACAGACTTCAGATGAGTTCACTAGGGTTGAGGTATGAAAAGATACTTGTTGCATTGCAGTTAGGTCAGTCTGCATTGCCTGCCCAGGCCTGCCTGTCACTTTATCTGTTCATCACATTGCAGGAGAAAAGGGGACTCAGGCCTTTCCAACAACGACCATGGAAAGAGGGCTCTGCCGGAGTCCTTTGCAAAACTTTTTGTTGCTATTTTCACTTCCCTAAATGTAATCTTTTTTTCACAAATTTTTGTGACTTGTAGAAAGGCAGTTAAAAAAAAAAATGTACCCGGTAACAATTTTATTGATTTAAATATTTGTAAATTATTTGGGGTTCTCCATGTATATAACCAATCACCTGAGAAAATTATAATTTGGTTCATCTTTTCTAAATAACAAAAACTAATGCAGTCTATATTTGGAAGATTTTCATCCAAAATGACTGAAATAAAAGAGAACTAAGAAACCTGACCTTTCCAAAGCAAAACAAAAACATCTCCTTATAAAGCCGATGCTCTAAAAAATGGCAATTTACAAAGGTAAACAACAAAGTAACTTGGTGTTGAAAATAAACTGCAAAACCTTAATATTATATTTAAATATAACATAAAACAGAAAAAATATGTTTAATTAATGAACTCAGAAGGCCTAAAGCATTATTAATCTAAGTGGAGAAATCAAAGATAAGGAATCTAGCCACACTTTTTATTATTTATTATAAGTATTATGAAGTGGTAGAATAACCAGAGCTTTAAACTAAAAAAAAATAAAAGAGTCTGGACTCTCTTTCCAGCTTTGCCACTAACTAGTCTTTGCCTTTAGGGAACTTACTTCTCTGGGATACTCACCAGATAACACCTGTAATCCATCTCTACTAAAAAGTTTTATTTATTGATAAATACTCAGAAGTTATTTTAGTTAAAAGTGTTTTCATATGATTCCCATAGCTAAATTGGCTATAATTCCTGTGATTAAAAATAATAATGCCCTGTACTAATACTGTCTTTCAGAATGCCTTTGCAACCATGACCTTTTTACTCCTGACCATCACCCCGTATAATAAGTATGAAACCCCAAGTTGAGAAGTGATTTATCAAAGGCCCCCAATAATATATTTTCAGAACATAAATAGTACTTAAGTCCTATTAAGTAAAACCTAAGGGTTTTAGGTCACATTTCTCCCCACAACAGTGCTCATTTGAAGAGCAATTAATGGTGAGTGATATTCAGGTTGGTACTTTAAGATGACGTCAGTGGCTAAGAAGATACATAAATATGATGTAAGAATGTTTTTATTTGAAGAGTTTACACTTTTTGAGAGTCCTGGGAATGGGAGAACAGTGAATAGCATGAAATCACAGGGTTAGTATGTGGAGGTTTAGGTGTTCTGGGCTACTATGCCCTGTGTGAAGAAACAAGATAGGCCCTGGGCTTTGAATGAGTAAAAATGTAAAAATGCACATGGATATACTGTGCTTAAGAAATACTGAGCTGTGCTGTGGTTCAAAGATGAACTTGGCTGGCAGCGTGACAAGAGATTTGGCTTAGAGTAACATCTACCTATGTGGCCAGGAGGCAGAATGTCCATTTGAATAGAAATCTCCTTGATGTTAAGATGTTAAGATTATCCCAACTGCTGGATGCAAAGACAAAGAAAGTATTCTGCCAGATGAAGAGCAACATGCCAGACACTGATGATGGCAGTGTGAGGCTGTGGGAGTCCTTCTGGACTTCAAAGTAGGTGGCTCCTTCTGACAAATCAGGGTCAAGGTCTCAGTTCTTGAATAAACCTACTCACATGAGTCTGAGTCCATGCCTCAGAGTATCCCCACTGACACTCCAAAGTGGGCCCAACATAGTAGAATCTCAAAAGCAACAAACAGTGTCTGTAAAACAAACATGAGGCCAAACACATACTCAATAATCCATTCTGAATTAGTCACTTCTCTACTTCCAGTTCTGGATACATTTTCCTCATTCTCGCCCATCTTTCCAACAGGGACTGATAATATTCTTTTGCTCATATTTTCTCCTGGAGTATGAAGTCATTTCAGTAGAAGTCTGATAGGCTGCATGATGGTTCCGAAAAACACCTCCCAAAAATACCCTAATCCCTTGAACCTACGAATGTTACTTTATACAACAAAAGTGACTTTGCAGATGTGAGTAAATTAAGGATCTTCAGATGAAATTATTCTGGATTATCCAGGCCATAAATGCAACTACAAGTTTCCTTACAAGGACGAGGGAGATTTGACACTGATAAGAAGGAAATATAACCACTGAAGCAAAATGCTATGCCATTTGCTCTATAGATGGAGAAAGGGGCCATGTACCAAGTTACACCAGGATTGCAGCTCTAGAAGTTAGAGAAAGTAAAGAAACCTATTCTCCCCTAGAGCCTCCAGGGGAATACAACTGTTGGCACATTGATTTTAGCTCAAAATAGCTAATTTCGGACTTCTGATCTCCAAAACTGTGAGAGAATGGTGCTCATTTAAATCACCAAGTTTATGGTAATTTGTTTAAAATGGCAACATGAAAATAATACAAAGTCTATATAACCAAGAAAATTAATCTGGAAGGGAACACAAAATTACATATAACCCTCACAAAATTAAACAGAGAATGCTTTGGATGGCTAATTCTCTGTAGGTCTCAACCTCCATTAGGCTCAATTCACTTTTTATCCATGTCAGTGACGTAGTCTGAAATGGCCCATTCTGCACATCCACATCCTACATGTATTTCAAGAGACAGTATTTCAGGTTCTCCTCCAATAAGAATATGTCAAGCCTTGGACCCTCCATCCTTGAGGGCAGATACAGTGTTTTGCTTCAGACTGCTGCATATGGGGTTGTTTAATAAATATTTGTTAGGTTACTCAGTGATTGATTAACTGTTCTGAACAAGCATTGAACCAAACCAACCATGACATGGCTAAAGTAAACAAACTGGTCCTTTGTTTTCAGTGAGGAATAAGGCCTTTTTAAACCAGCTTAGGAGCAGACAAAAGAGTAATTAGTGCCAAAAAGAAACGCAGGTATAGAGACCCACATAGTCTTCAAACTCTGTGACGTGGAATTAGAACCTCTGGGGAATAGCCCCTCTTGAATAATTTTGAAGAGATGCTGATTGCAAAGACTAGATACTGAAATCAGTGAAATAACAGTGGCCATTGTGGTTAGAGAGTCATTCAGTTATAG